ATGTTGCTCTTGATATGTAGCCCTATTCCTCACTGAAACTAAAAATAAAAAAACAAAAATGAAAAAACTCATGTGCCAGCAACTAAAAATAGTGTGGTCTCCTTGAAAGGAAAAAAAAATGAAAACTAAAGTCAAGTCTACTTAATCTAGGCTGCATTTATTCATGTTGAATTATCTATAATTCAGGAGAATTAACATGAATGATACACAGAAAATGTTCAGATAAAAAGAAAATCAACAGATAATACTTCTCTTCAGAGTAATTCATAATTGGCCATCAGCTTCCAGAGCTCCCTTCAAATCTGTAGCTCTCTTTCTGTGATGTCCCACCATTTCTCAGGGCTGAGGCACCCTGTCCGTAGAGAGCTTCCTCTCAAGGTCCTGTCACCGTGAAGATCTCTCTTGACCCCATCTATGCCCCTGCTTTTCAACTCAGCCCCATCAACTATTTATCCCAACTCCAGCTTTTGTCTTTACTATTTCCCACTCCCTTTGATCCTTCCCCTCTGGTGACAAACATGCTCCCCATGACATCCTCAGATGCACCCTTTCTTTTGCTCTGATATGCACTCACCACTGAGCTCTCCCTCACTCCCTTTACCACCCACCTTCTTGGATGAGCCCAGCCTGGGCCAGAATCCCACTTCCAGTCTCTAATTACTTCTCCCCATTTCCTCACCTACAATGCTGGACAATCACATCTCTTCCTGGGCCCTCATGAGGCTTCAGTGAGAACATGTGTATGATGCCAGGTACCAAGTGGGCGCTCATCAGTCCTCCACTTCTTGAAATTCTTTTCTCTCTTGGATTCCACTGAGCTCCCTATTCTTTTCACTGGATCTGGGTCTTTGTCTCTTACCTCTGTCTGTCAGTAGCTTAGGGAACTCACCAGTCCCCTAGATCCAACCATGACCTCTAAACAGAGAAGCAGATGATGCTCAAGCTCTATATCCGGACTTGATGTCTCATCTGTAAATCAACAGATCCCAAACCAAACTCACCACCCCTGATCTTCCAGAACCCCGCTACTTACCAACTGCTTCTCCTGGACACCATTTGCCAGTTTCTTAGACTTGAGACTTTGCAACCACCATGAACTCATCTGTTTTCCCATCACTTACTAAATCCAGTCTTATTCTGTACAACCATAATGCTTTCATCAAGCTCTTCCTTATCACAATAAAACTACTTTACCCCTACTCTTGGCCTCAACAACTCCACTTGAAATTTCAAGAGCATCTTGCCTAACCAATCTCTCCACTCCTCTATCTCATCCCTCCTCCTTATCCTACAAACCAGTGCAAAGAGATCTTCCTAAAGTACAGCCCTATTTCTGCCACTATCCCCTCCTTCTGCAGCCCACTGCATCTGCCAAAGATCTAACTGACTAATGCTCAAAGTTAAAAGAGTAATTAGTAGACTGACACACAATGAGTCTCTTCACATCTGTTCAAGTTGTTCAGATTACAAACTTATGACCATGACAAAAAAAATTATTTTTACTTTTACAAACTCACTTGATTTTTTTAAAAAATTCTGTCTTTGCACACCAAGGAGTCAGGAAATATTTGTCTGCTATCTCCTTTAAAATTTAAAGCCAGTAGCAATCATACCAAAAAAAGAAATGAAATGCATCCAAATTGGTAAAGAAGTACGGCTGTCACTACTTGCATATGATATGACAATATATATAGAAAACCCTAAAGATTTCACTAAAAAAAAACTATTAGAACTAATAAATGACTTCAGTAAAGTTGTGGACACAAAATTAATACACAGAAATCTGTTGCATTTCTATACACTAATAATTAAGTCACAGAAAAAGAAATTAAGCAAACAATCCCAATTACAATTGCAACAATAAATAAATAAATAAATAAATAAAATAAAATACCTAGCAATAAACCTTACCAAGGAAGAGAAAGACCTGTATATTGGAAACTGTAAAGCAGAGATGAAAAAAATTAAAGATGACACAAACAAATGAAAAAATACTCCATACTCATGGATTGGAATAACCAATATTGTTAAAATGTCCATACTACCCAAAGCAACCTACAGATTCAAGGCAACCCCTATCAAAATACCAATAGGATTTTTCACAGGACTAGAATAATACTAAAATTTGTATAGAACCACAAAAGACCTTGAATAGCCAAAGCAATCTTGAAAAAGAAGAACAAAACTGAAGGTACCATAATCCTAGATTTCAAGATATACTACAAAGCTGTAGTAATCAAAAAAGTATGGTACTGCCATGAAAACAGAGACATAGATCAATAGAACAGAATAGAGAGCCCAGAAATATACCCACATTTATATGGTCAACTAATCTTCAACAAAAAAACACAAGAATATACAAATAGGGAAAAGGCAGTCTTTTGAACAAATGATGCTGGAGAAACTGGAGAGCTATATGCAAAAGAGTGAAACTAGAACACTTGTTTACACCACACACAAAAATAAACTCAAATGGTTTCAAACCTAAATGTGAGACCTGAAACCATAAAACTCCTAAAAGAAAACACAGAGAGTAATTTCTTTGACATTAGCCATAGCAACATTTTTCTAAATATAGCTCCTCAGGCAAGGAAAACAAAAACAAAAATAAACTACTATGACTTCACCAAGATAAAAAGCTTTTGCACCTCAAAGAAAGCCATCAACAAAAGGAAAAGGCAACCTATTGAATGGAAGAAGATATCTGCAAATGATATACCTGAGTAGGGGTTAATATCCAAAATATAACACACACACACACACAAAATCCAATTAAATGAATAGACATTTTTCCAAAGAAGACATACAGATGGCCAACAGACATATGAAAAGATGCTCAACATCACTCATCATCATGGAAATGCAGATCAAAACCACAATGAGATATCAGCTCACACCTATTACAATGGTAATAACATTGTATGGTGACAGTGACTATACTTATCACAGTAAGCACTGAGTAATATACAGAATTGCTGAATCAATATGTTGTACACTTGAAACTCATATAACATTGTATGTTAATTATACTTCAATTTAAAATTTTTAAGTTTCTTTTTTTAAAGATTTTATTTATTTATTTGACAGAGAGAGACAGAGCGAGAGAGGGAACACAAGCAGGGGGAGTGAGAGAGGGAGAAGCAGGCTTCCCACTGAGCAGGGAGCCCGATGCGGGGCTCGATCCCAGGACCCTGGGATCATGACCTGAGCCGAAGGCAGATGCTTAATGACTGAGCCACCCAGGCGCCTCTAAAATTTTTTAAAATAAAGTTTGAAGTCAGAGTTAGCACACTGGTGCCCCAGTATCCACATCTTTGATGTCTAAAAGTTAATATTCAAAAATTAGAAGACTTCCCCTAAAATCTGAAAAGCCGGCCTCCCTTGAAAACTCACTTGATCAGGTAACACTCGCTCAGCACTGAGCTGATGACAAGAATGGCAATGAGCTGGAGGAGAATCAGACACGGCTGCCCCATTGGCCAGGGCACCCCCTCTACTCGAATTAGTTCACTGAGATCACTACCTAGGAATTTGAACAATGTGGTTTTATTGTCATTTATATAAAATGCCATTAGAGCCCCTCCACCCTGCAAAGTATGCCCAGCAAGTTCAGGATCAGCATGTCCTTGTAGATGGGATCCATGGGCTCTTCATGAACCCATTTAAGAAGCATGTGTGCATTTGTCACTTGTTGGGACTGTGGGAGAGCAGGGTGTTTTATGTCATCAGCCACTTTAGATGTTCTACTTGCCTCATCCAACAAGACCTCCAGCCATAAATGATTGTGACACTGGCATAATATATTTCTTGTTTTGTAACATGAAACTCACACCATGTGTGCTTCCAAATGTTTATTATTCCCCTGTGAATAATTTATTCGAGTACATTTCCAGGATTATGAATTAGGATGACTTGTTCTGCTCTCCAACATCATCTTCGTTTCTTAAAAATCCTAGAATGAACTTAATTAAATTCCAAAGCTTGAGTTTATCTTAATTTGCTTTCAATCCTTTCCTTCCTGATTCTATTCTGACTTTCTTTCTCTTCTATTTTTAACTTTTCACTTTGTATTTCACGGGTTATCATCTTAAACAGCTTTGTGGTTTAGGGACGTGTGTGTGTGTTTTAACACGGAGGCTAAACATTTGACATCTCTGCTATTTTTGTTCTAAGGAGTATCACCTTTTGCTGAACCTATAAAGGTGTCAAAAGTGTCGCTTGCCTTGGCCTTCCCTTTTCTCTGATTTGTTGATTCTAAAGCCCATTTTCATCTCCGCCATCTCGCCGCTCCCTTATTATCTTGGCTTTCCCAGTTTTGTGCCTGCATTTCGCATTATTTCTCCATAATCTCACCCCATGACCTGGCCTGAGTTCTAATCGGAAGTTTCCACTTGACTTTCAGGAATGAGCTCTTATCAAAAGAAAACCACTGAGTCATAAACACGCTTGCTTGCCAGCTGCTAGCCCAGCGTTCTGAAGGGAGAAGACACTCGGTTAACGTGGGGCTCTGCCAGATTCCAAGAAGCCCTGCAACTCTTCAGAGAGAGCCCGTGGCAGCTCTAGGCACCCAACAACCCACGTATTTATTACCTGCACCTTTCCCCCGGCTCTCTGCCCAGCTGGGTGGGATGGTGCCGCACACGCAGCAGGGTGGGAGTCAAAACACTGCATTTCACGAGTCTTCCCCATGCTTGCACCCTCTGGATGCCTCGCCTCCTCCCAGGACGACGATCCCTTCAGAAGCCCGGCCACTTCCTCCATAGACTGCTTCTACAGCTCAGGCCTTGCCACTCCGCCGGGGGCAGTATCTGCCTGCATCATTGTGCTTCCCTGCATCCAGGAATCCAGGAATCCGCTCCCGGGAGAAGAGCGGAGCTCCCTGCCAGATGGCAAGCAGCCACCACGCTTGCCCACTGGCCCCGGAGGAATGTGACCGAGCGCCCTGTGTGTGGCTGCCCCCCCGCTACGGCCTGGCCAGCCCACGCTCCCCAACAGCCCACCCACATTCCAGCATCTTCGGTATGAATCACGATGAACACCACCACCGCACTGCAGAAAACGCCACTCACAGCGCTGGGTCCTCTGGAACTTTCGGAGCTGTCCAAGCCCAGCAGGTTAAACTTTTTAAAACAAAGGCCAGGGATCACAGATCCAAAACCTGCTGAAATATCTGGTTGCAAGTACAATATAAAAGGGATAGAAGTGCGCATGCAATGTAAGTTCAAGCGCAATATGAAAGCACTTGGAATCATTTTCGTTCTTAAAATGTTTCTTCATAGGAAAAAAAAAAACTAAGGATGGTGAGAAGGCCAATGAGAGCTTGTTTGGTGTATTATATTAACAAAGGACGTGGGTGGAAGTGACCTTGAATCACATCATGAAATTGTTTGTTCAGCAATAATGGTGGAAGCAGGAGGTTGGAAGAGACCGTAAGATAAGAAGAGGAATTAGGCCTTCTCCCAGAACTATGCCTTGTCCCTTTCTTGTCTTCCTTACGGCAACACTCTTTAAAGGGCAGGAGTACAAAAGGCACCATCTCGCTCAGCTCTGCAAATTCCCTTTCCCACCTCTTCTCAAGAGCGGCAGGGGGCACAGTTTGAGGCTCCTGGACAGAAGGGAGATGGAACACTTCATAAACTTCTTTCCTCGTGGCCACAGGCTTAGCAATTTGCTTTCACAAATATCGGATACCCCCCAAACTAAAAAAGGAACACCACTCCTGGCTAGGGTGTTACGCGCCTTGATTACTGGACCCTTGGCCACCTGAGTCTCAGGTGGAGTTCAAGGTCACTTTTACGATGTCGAACAACTGGTCTCCAAAGGCCAGAAAAAAAGGAATTTGACCTGCTGTCCCAGGCAATGATGTTAGACACAAAGGGACTTCAGTTCCCATCTTGGCCCTGGCCCTGCCTGGCTGTGTCACCTGGGACAAGCCACTTGGCTCTCTGAGCCTCAGTTTCCTCAACTGTGAATTGAGGCAAAGGTCCCCCAGTAACTGAGATGGTGCACGGGAAGCACTTGGCACTCTACCTGGCACACGGCAGGAGTCCAATAAACCGCAACTCAACCCTCCATTCATGCTTAACGGGCTGTGCAGCAGTGGGGTTTCTGGATCATTAAGTCACTTTCACAAGTTTTAAAAAGCAAACTAGTTCATACCAAAGCAGACACAAGCCATGTTTATGAACAATTCTCTCCCAAGGTCTTAGACTTAAAGCTCAGGGATTCGTATGGTTTCCAATGTAGAACAAGGGGTGGGGGTTAGGAGGTAAAGTGTTGCACCAGGATCAGTAATTTATGACCTTTCCTTTAAAAAGGAAACTATACTTAACATAAGATGCTAAACATCTGAGGGGCACCTGGGTGGCTCAGTCAGTTAAGCGTCTACCTTTGGCTCAGGTCATGATCCTGGTGTCCTGCGATCGAGCCCCACGTCCAGCTCCCTGCTCAATGGGGAGTCTGCCCCCCCTCCTCCTGTAAATGCATGCTCTCTCTCTCTCTCTCTCTCAAATAAAAAAATAAAATCTTAAAAAATATGCTAACATCTGAATCCCTATGTAGTGTTCCTCATTCAGAGCTTCAGTCCTGTAGAAATTGGAACATCACACCAATGACTGTTTTTTTCTCTCTGTGTTGATGTATTTATAGAATATGACCATATCATCACATACATCATGTACATAAGTGAACATACACACCCGCACACGTGAATGACAGAAAAGACTGGAATACACACTCGAGGTATAAACGTGCTGGGCTCTCAGGACATGACATGAGCATTACACACAGACTTCCATTTTATTTCTTCTCAGTCAACGTGTGCCCAGGGGCCTACTGAACTCAAATATCCAGGCACATGCAGGAAATCCTCTTGTCCAACCTAGTTTGGAAAAGAGAATTTCTTACGAAATCAAGTATCCTACTTAAGAGAAAGTTGGTGCCTCTCAAAAGTGGGTCTAAAGCCACAGCAACCCAGGCCAGCGGGGAATGCTCATGGCTCCCGATCAAAAAGCTCTCCCTGAATGCCAGGCCTCACTGGTGAGTCACCCTGGATAACGAAACCCTTCCCTAAACCATAAACACCCTCTGAAAGACTGTCTTTTAGGCATTTACTCCTTGGTATGAATGAGTTTAACTGAAATCTTTTGCCTTAACAAGAAGTCAAGATGATTTCAATGAAACAATGTTTCATTTGTTTTGTTTTTATTCGGGACAACGGTTGAGGGGTGAAGCAGAAGTAATACAACATTGATTTCAGTGGTTCTCAAATTATGAGAATTGTCTGGTGGGTGGGGGTTGTTTAAAATGGCGATTCCCTCACCCAACCCCAGATTCCAATTTAGTAAACTGGAGGTCAAAGCCATGAATCTACATATTTTTAACAACCCCCTGCCCCAATGACCCTAGTATGGTCCTCAGACCACAATATGGAGAAACTGGACCAGGCGTACCACCCCGAAATCTCTAGAACCTAGAACCCGGCTTGAAATAAAAGTTAAATCCCCACAAACTAATTATTAGGAAAAGAGCACACTGTACATGCATATGTCTGGGGATTTCCGGAGCACCAATGCTTTCCTGGCAGCCCCACACCACACCGACTCCTTTTACTCATAGTCCCATTTCTGAGAGAGGGGTATTGAAGTCTCCAGCCATAATTCATCTATTTCTCCTTGAAGTTTTTTTTTTTTAAGATTTTCAGGAATAGAGGGGGAGGGAGAGGGAGAGAATCTCCAGCTGACACCACACTGAGCACAGAGCCCAATGCGGGGCTCGATTTCATGACCCTGAAATCACGACCTGAGCCAAAATCAAGAGCCACACACTTAACCGACTAAGCCACCCAGGTGTCCCTCTCCTTGTGGTTTTATCAGCTTTGGCTCATGTAGTTTGATGCTCTAGTTGGTGCATACATGTTGAGGATTGTTAAATCTTCTTAGAGCAAGTGACCTCTTTATCATGTAATGCCACTGTCTATCTCTATCTGTTTCCTTGCTCTCAAGTCAGCTCTGTCTGCAATTAATATAGCTACTCCCACTTTTTTTTTTTTTTTTTAGTAGTGTAGGCATGGTCCATCCTTCTCCATTCATTTACTTTTAATCCAAATATGTCTTTATATGTATCTTGTGGACAATACAGAGTTGGGTCTTGTTTTCTGACTCATGGCTCCTAGCCTCACTCTGGCTCTAGCTTACCCTACCCCTATTCCCAGAAATCCCTTTTCTAAGGTTTGATCTTGGACCCTGACTTTGCAGCATCTTCCACAAGATGTTCCTACCAAAAGAAAGAAATGACCATGGAAATCCATTAAAACCGTTTGTTGTTCTATCACACTGGGGGGCACATCATAGCTTCTGAAACATAATTAGATCAAGTAACTGACCCAGGCATTACAAAGGACTCAAAGGGCTTCATGACATTTAGCTTTTCACTAAATAAGAATCTAGCCTGTCTGAATTAATCACACATTTTTCTTTGATGAAGTCTAAATTAATAAGATTTATTGTATGTGTGTCTGTGTTGTGTGCCTGCTCATGCCTAAGAGATAAACCCATTAGCAAAGAAAACCTTGCTTCCAGAGGCAATCAAGAAATAACCTGGGAGCCGCTGCCGCCGAGTCCGGATCCAGCCTGGTGCGCCGCTGACGCCCGCCCGCCCGACGTGCACTCCCGATTCCTTTTGGTTCTAAGTCCAAAATGGCAACTCTCAAAGATCAGCTGATTCAGAATCTTCTTAAGGAAGAACATACCCCCCAGAATAAGGTTACAGCTGTTGAGGTTGGTGCTGTTGGCATGGCTTTTGTGCTATCCCAGTATCTTAATGAAGGACCTGGCAGATGAACTTGCTCTTGTTGATGTCATGGAAGACAGACTGAAGGGAGAGATGATGGATCTCCAGCATGGCAGCCTTTTCCTTAGAACACCAAAAACTGTCTCTGGCAAAGATTATAATGTGACTGCAAACTCCAAGCTGGTTATTATCACAGCTGGGGCCTGTCAGCAAGAGGGAGAAAGCTGTCTTAATTTGGTCCAGCGTAACGTGAACATCTTTAAGTTCATCATTCCTAAATATTGTAAAATACAGCCCAAACTGCAAGTTGCTTGTCGTTTCCAATCTAGTGGATATCTTGACCTATGTGGCTTGGAAGATAAGTGGCTTTCCCAAAAACCGTGTTATTGGAAGTGGTTGCAATCTGGATTCAGCCCGGTTCCGTTACCTACTGGGGGAAAGACTGGGAGTTCACTCATTACGCTGTCACGGGTGGGTCCTTGGGGAGCACGGAGACTCCAGTGTGCCTGTATGGAGTGGAGTGAACGTTGCTGGCGTCTCTCTAAAGAATCTGCACCCTGACTTAGGCACTGATGCAGATAAGGAACAGTGGAAAGAGGTTCACAAACAGGTGGTTGACAGTGCCTGTGAGGTGATCAAACTGAAAGGCTACACTTCCTGGGCCATTGGACTGTCTGTGGCAGATCTGGCCAAAAGTATAATGAAGAACCTTAGGCGGGTGCATCCAATTTCCACCATGATTAAGGGTCTCTATGGAATTAAAGATGATGTCTTCCTTAGTGTCCCTTGCATCTTGGGACAGAATGGAATTTCAGACGTTGTGAAGGTGACTCTGACTCCTGAGGAGGAGGCCCGTTTGAAGAAGAGTGCAGATACACTTTGGGGGATCCAAAAGGAGCTGCAGTTTTAAAGTTTTCTAATGTACCACTTCATTGTCTAGACTACAGCAGGATTTTAGTTGGAGGTTGTGTATATTGTCCTTATTATCTGATCTGTTACTCAAGTAATATTAAAATGGCCTAAGAAAAAACGTCAGTTTCCTAAAGTTCCAAATAACAGTGGTTCACTGAACCCTGCAGCTGTATCCTGATGCTGATGATACCTGGCTTTGTAGCCCTAAATGGGTTAACGTAATATAGCCCCACCGTCTCCCAGAGGCACCACGGCCAGAGCTGCGGCTGCTCTTCACACCGGATGTGTGTTTACTGTGTGTTCTGTCACTTCGGGTTCCTTCCCCCAACACCCGACATGCCTAGTCCATCTTTTCCAGTCAGTCATGTCCTGGGATCCAATGTATAAATTCAATATTGCGTGTATTGTGCATAACTGTTCTAAAGGATCTTATTTTGTGTACCATGTATGTCAGAATATAGTGTACATGGCCATATAATGTAAAAAGACAATGCAACCAACTAAGTGTCATACCAACTAAAATACCAAATAAATTTTGAACAGTGACTCT